CAAGATGGCGGGCCGGCCAGCCCCGCCCCGCCAAACGGTGGGTTTTGGCGGGCTGCGGGCCAGCCCGCCCCGCCGACCCGTTTTGACATCTCTAGATCTTACAAAAGAAACGAATTTCATGTTCTATGTAACAGTGTGCTGTAGGGAAAAATTATTGCCAACATTCCACATCATGTTGAAAAAGGTTTCAAATGTTGCTTTAATAATATATGATGTCTGGTTGTAGCTATTTTTTATTTTCTTTTGTTTGGACCAAAACTATTTTGTTTGTTGATTCACTTGCAATGAACTGAAAAAATCAGCTTACCTCGAATAGCATAAATGTCTGGAATCAAGAGTACCGAAGCTCAATGGCATTGATCACACCCCAATGCTGCTTTCATTTTTTATTTGTCACCTAATTATCAAAGTGAAAATAGTATTGCCGAAAATTAAGGTCTACCATGGTCTATGCCTCTTTGGGTTTCGTGGCCGAAATCAAAGTGAATAACTTTTAATGCAATTGATCTTTTGATATTTCGAATAATTACAAGGATATGGGAAAATTTCTTCAACATTATGAGACGATTGTCCAAGAATATTGATACTTTTGTGATCTCACAATATACATATGTAACTTATTCAATCTATGACTTGAATCAATCGTACATTTAACAGTTTTGGAAGTTTACGAAAATTTACTGAGAAATTACATATTTATTAGATCACTCAAATATATGACTGGTCGTTGAATAACATAAGAAATTAAATATTTATTACATAGCATAAGAAATTAAATACCTACTTATTAGATAACAGTAGTTGAATAGATAACAGTCACATTAAAAGCAAATCTAAAGATTTATTCCCAATAACAAAAACATCATCGTGCCACCGTCAGCCTCTCTCGACATCATGTATCGGTGCGCTTCTTTCGCGGTTACAAGTGTAAATAGCTAAAAATATCATGGCACCACAAGTACCTCCTACTAATATGCTTCCAAGTATTATTTCGATTCCCATATCCGGTCCTGAAAATTATTAGGCCATGGGTCAAGTATAAAAATAATGCCTCAAATACTTTCTTTAAAAAAAAAAAACATAAAATACATAGTACATTTTAAATAATACCAACAACTCCAACATTTTAGTTGATTATAAGTGAGTTGTTTTCTCGGAATCATTATAAGTTCTAAATAATCAAAACTTATAACAATTTAGTCATAACTTATCCCAAATTTGTTCTCCATAAAAAATAAAACGACACCGTACATTAGAATTACCACACAGACAATTAACAACATAACTTAAGCAGAATTACAACCCATAATCTAAACTTTACGATATTATACTTGCAACGCAGAATTACAAGGAAACAAATAAAATCACTAAATCAGAACTCAAAAGAATTACTTTGTGCCAAGTTTTAAAATCTATTTAACAAAGAATGTTCGGAAAAAGGAACAACCTTGAAGCAAGAAGAATGAGAAGCTGACCGTTGGTGTTTGTTGTTTGAGAATAAGTTGCTCACTTTCTGTTTACTATTAGATAGTGGTAAACCGTTTGTCCAATGGATAGTTCTTCACCTTCATTTGATACATATATATATATATATGTGGAGATTTGTACACTTCTTTTTTAATTTCACTTTCTTTTTCATTATTATCGATCGAGCCAAAGTAATTAGTTGATTTAATTTTGGTATATAATAAATATAGCTACTAAATTTGATTCCCTTTGTTTTTTCAGCACGCATATCATTTTCTCATACCAAGATTGTATAGCTAGTTTATATAGGTTATCATTTTCTCATACCAAGATTGTATAGCTAGTTTATATAGGTGAAGAGTGATTTATTTTGTATATACTCAAGTTTTTGAGGGGCCTTGTGGAAAAGTCAGCATGCTACTGCAAAAAAAACCAAACTAGTATGCTGATATATTTATCCACCTTATCCTATTAATATATCAAATTACATTAATCCACCTTATCCTATTAATATACCAAACTTGTATATTACATTAATCCACCTTCTCCTGTTAGTATATCAAATTAATCATTTTTTGAGAATCTTCGATTTGACATCCATATTGTATATATAAAATAAATGAATTATATTTATTTTTATAATAATAAAAGATCATAATATTTATTTAAATTCATTAGAAAAATACAATTATTTCTCAGTTGATATATTTATATTTACAAAAATTCTATGGAGTCATCCATCAGTTAATGTGTTGACACCTGTCCAAAATGCATTTGTTGTAGGACACGTGTCAATACACTATTTGTGAATAATTGTGGATGACTCCACAAGCCGAGTCATCCGATGGCTCCATAGAAAAACCGGTTATGTTTAATGTAGTTATATGTTGTAAGTTAAAAAAAATTATTATAATATAACACAGGTAAGTCGCACAAATAAAAAGTGTCATACTAAATATATAATCATATATGATATAGGATATTATACCCACAAGGTTAAACCGGTGAATATATCGGTTAAGGAAGTCATATTATGAGGAAGTCAAGGAAATCGAGCAGTTAACCAGTCGACCAAGCAAAGTTGTCGACCAAACTATCCTTCGACCAGATGAACGATCGAGCAGTTCAGTCGGCCTCGACAAGTCGACCACTTCGAGGACTTAACACTACGCTGATCGGCCTAGTCACAGGCGCGTGAGAGAGCCTCTAACTGAATTCCAAGAGAATATTTCCCCCATGTGCAGGGGGACACGTGTCGAGAAGGCAGTGGATGATAGCGGTAACCACCTCTGACAGCCTACCCCATGTGCAGGAGGACACGCGCCCAAAGGGGATTGGTGCAGGCGATAGTGGCGACGGCTACCTCTGACACACGCGTATGGTGTGTACGGTCGGGCAGTTAGGGCAGACAGCTCATCAGATTCGGGCAGCTCTAGGTCAGGTATCTTACCCCTATATAAAGGGGGTGAGCCTTTCTTCTTCAACACGATCATTCTATTGTTTACTCTGGAGAATTGATTGAACATACACTGACTTAAGTTTTGGAGGCTCTTCACCGGAAAACTCTCCCGGTGTTAGAGTTCTTTGTAGGTGCACGACGTTCAACCGGCGAGAAGGAAGACGATTATTCAAGTTCCAGCCGGTCAGGAAGTTTTGTGTTACCAATATAAATATATATATATGTATATATATATATATATATATATATATATATATATTTGTAAAATGTATTTAAATTTTCAATTATTTTTTCTAATTAATTTTAGATTTTAAGAAAAAATTAGCAAGCACTCGTATAATACACGGGCTTTGTACTAATTATTTAATATTTATCATTATATCTCTCCTCATGGATTATCTACTTACATATATGGATATTTATTTATGTCTATCCAATATTTACATTCAAACAATAGCTCTAGTTTGGATAAACAAACAAAATAGTTTGGTCCAAAGTTTCCATCCAATATTCACATTGAAACAAAATAGTCAAGTCTTTTCATTTTTCAATTGTTGAAAATTAGAAAAAGTTATGGTGTGTTGGTATCAAAAGTAATTTATAATCAAAATTGGAGAAAGAATTATAATTTGTAAAATAATATTGAAGAAGAGAATATATTATATATGTAATAAAAAAAACTTTTTGAAGAGAGTAATATAGATGAATTAGACTCTTGAATTCTTCTTTTCTTGCTTTTGCTTCTTGCATTACTTCCATTCCAAACACACACCTATATATAGCATACAATGGATAATTCTAGAGTTCAATTATTGCAATTGCCAACTAATGTGACAACTAATACTACTAATAATTGAACATTATTACAACCAATAATTGATT